AGAACAACAACTTTTCTTTTTTATGTAAACAACAACTTTTCTTTTTATGTAATACCTGAGTTCGAAATTTAGCCCGAGATTAAATTTAAAATTAAAAAATATATAAATAAATATAATTTTTAAAATTCATAATTTTTGTTTAATGTAAAATTAAGAAAAAAATAGGTGAATGATGAAATTGAAAATAAATTTGGAAAAAAATGGTGAAATTTTGGGTTCAAAATGTATTTTTAAAATAAAAATCGGAAACTAGGAGGTCAAAACGTAATTAAGAAAAATTGCGCCACTTAGGACCGCCAGTCAGCAGCCCCGATGAACCGGAGCGCGCCGTGTGGCAAGGTACACTGACTCGATGCCACACAGGAGGCCACGCTGGCAATCCGCGTACCTGTAATTGGACGGCCCATATGCGTTCCTACGAGCGTGGACGGTTTGAATCCATTCCCTCTTCAGGTATTATCGGATGTAAATGTGATGAACGGTACAGATTCGTTCTCTCTTTAAACATGATCATACGGTCGAGATCAAATCGGGATGAATGATTTAGATTCTTTTTCTTTTTAAACGCGATCAGATGATCGAGATCAAATGCGATGAACGATCCAGATTTAAGAGAGACGAGTATAAATATCTTTCATCACACTGAACCCAAACTTTAGTCGCTAGCCCCCCACCAGAGAAGAAGAACCAGTCACCGGAGAAGGGAGCCGACTGTCGTTCGTCACTATACCGGAGCCACATCCGACTGCCAAAAAAGGTAAAAATTCTATCTAAAACTCAAAAATTGATTTCAAACACCCTCATGGCCAAATCAAAGCAAAAAGAACGGCGGATGAGCCAAAAATCGTAGGTAAAGCTCGGCGGGGGTGCCACAGGCAAAATAAAAAATCACTCTCGATGAGCCCCTTCCAATTTTCCCGTTTTGTGCGATTTTTCTACCATTGTGGTCACTATTCTATTTTTTACAGGTTGACTAAAGAAAAACACCAAGACACAAAGGTGAGTCGGCAAAGCCGTCGCACCAGAAAATTCTGCTGCCAGTAAGTTTTTATTTTTCAACTTTTTTCGGTAAACCGAGATTCCCTAACATATTTTCTCGAAAGGATGAGTATAAAACTGGCCGAAACTAGACAAAAATGGTCAGTCCGAGGCAAACCACCGCTGTGCAGGAATTTTAAAATTGATTGGAAAAGGTTTTTAACACCGATTTTAGGTTTTTGGAGTATTTTTAGGTACATGAAATGTGTTTTAACCTCCGCAGGAAAATTCAAGAAATTCGCAGACCACCAGTAGGCGCAGTTGAAAGTTTGATATTTCAGATATCGATTCGGGTAAGAATCTCTCACCTTATTTTCTGTTATGGAATTGAAGTCTAATTATCAATAATATGGTATTTTGCGTAATTTAGAAAGTTTCGAGAGTTAATTACATGTTACTAATGGAGTCAGAACTAATTATTTATTATTGTTGTCCTGTTTAACTGATTATTTGAGTTTACAACTTTACATGCATAATAATATACTGAAATTGGTAAAATGATTCAATTGTGTTTCCTTGATACATGTATTATTTGTCTTGCGTTGATTTACGATCAAATCGTGAAATTAAAAATTAAATGTAAATAAAAAATTTATTGGTTAAGTAAATGAATGAATGGTAGCCTTACTGGATATCCTAGGAGATAGTGGACGGATCGGGTACATAAGGAACCCTATCGTGAACGTCGTCTCATACCGGATGGGATATCGAATATTGATATTTTTTGCGCTCATACCAGACGGGGTATAGGAACAGCTCGTTTCACCCTCATACCGGACGAGGTACTGAGGGATAGTATTTTTGGCACTCATACCTGACCAGGTATGAGGATGGTCGGTTAGTTAATAAGGTTGGATGTTGGTTCACGTACAGTGAGACATCCCTATGGACCCCAATGGATACCAGTAGACAAATAAAAAGAGAAAGTTGTTATTATTGTTTACTTAAATATGAGATTACGATGTTGTTGAGCTATTGTCTCTATAGATCGGTTTTGAAAATCTAGCAACGATAAATATGCTTTATTGGTTATTTTTATAATTTTTACCAACCTTCATTTTCTGTATCGGTGAGTAGTATGATATTCTTACTGGCTAGTATAGCTCACTCATTCATTAACTATTTCAAATCAAGAGGATCAAGACCCAGATCCCGATCAATAGAAGGATTATGAATAGTTCACTACCCGGACCCATTCAAACGCTAGTGAATGTCATCCTAAGATGTTCAGTTGTTTACTTTTCGTTTATTTCTTTGATTTTCGTTTATTTTTTTAGAATAGATATTTCTGTAGCCCTATTGGGTATTTTAAACTATTGTGTAAAGAATGTAAACCCTAACTCTATTACTCCGTTTTCACATTCAATTCATGTCTTTATTTCTTTTTAAGTTTTGGACCGTTACATTTTATCTGCTTACTGGTACCTCTAGAGGTCAATAGGGATATACCCTGACGCGTGAACCTAATATATAAAATTGTTAATTAACCGACTGTCCCTATATCCCGTTTAGTATGATGACAAAAAATGTCATTTATTAATATCTCATTCGGTATGAGGGTGAACCGGGTCGTCTTCATATTCTGTCCGGTATGAGCGCAAAAAATAGCACATCTCGATATCGCGTCCGATATGAGGTAATGTTCACGATAACATTCCTTATATACTCGGTTCATCCACCATCTCCCAAGATATTCAGTAAGACAATTATTTATTAATTCACATAATCAAACAATTTTTCATTTGTATATTAATTTCACATTTAACAAATCAACTGTAAATCACGCAAAACAAGCGATATATGCATAAAGGAAACACAACTAAATCATTTAACTATTTCAATATATTATCATGTATTTAAAGCGTTATAAGTTAATCAATTCAACGTGACAAATAAATAACTAACCGGTTCCAGCTCTATTAGTGACTTGTAATTATTTCCAAAATTTTTTAAATTTCACAAAATACTATATTATTGATTATTAAGTTTTAATTCCATAATAGGAAATATGGTGAGAGATTCTTATCCGAATCGATGTCTGAAACACTGTACTTTCTACCGTGTCTCCTGACGGTCCCCGAATTTCCTAAATTTTTCTGCGGAGATTAAATACGTTTCACGTACCTAAAGAATATCCTAAAAACCTAAAATCGGTGTTAAAAATCCTTTCGGATCAATTTTAGAATTCCGACACGGTGCCGCCACTTGTAGCGGCGGTTTGCCTCGGCTTGGCTGTTTTTGGCCAATTTAGCTGATTTCAGCCGACTTTACATGTACCTCTACGAAAAAAATATGTTAGAGAGCCTCGATTGGCCCAAAAAATAAAAAAACTAAAACCTGCCGGTGGTGGGATTTTTGGGTGCGGCGGCTCTGCCAGCTCTCCTTCGCTGCTGGGATTCCTTCTTTGGTCAACCTATAAAAAACAGAATGGTGAACACAATGGTAGAAAAATAGCACTAAATGAGAACTGGGAAGGGGTTCATCGGAGGAGGTTGCGAGTTTTGGACCGCGACCATCCCGCCGGGCTCTACCCGTAGTTTTCACCTCATCCGCCATTTGTTTTGCTTCGGTATGGCCACAGAGGTGCTCGGAATTGAATATCGAGCAGGTAAGATAATTTTTACCTTTTTTGGAGGTTAAAGGTGGCTCCGGTGCAGCGGCGGTCAGCTTCCTTCTCCGGCGTCTAATCCTTCTTCTCCGACAGACCGGGAGGGGGGGGGGGGGCTGACGACTAGGGTTCGAGTTCCGTATGATGCGAAATATTTATACCCATCCCGTGTTAATTTGGATTGTCCATCGCGATCGATTTGGTCTGTCCGATCATGTTTAAGGAAGAAACGAATCTAGACCTTTCATCACGGTTGATTTCAACCGTTCGATCACGTCTAAAGGAAAAACATATTCGGACTGTCTATGCGCGCGGGATCGATCCTGGACCGTCCGATCGCGGGGCACGCAAATCGCTAGCGTGGTCTTTCGTGTGGCACTGATGTCAGCGTTCTAGTTCGTGGAGGTTCTGACTTGACAGTCCTACGTGACCGAACTTTTTCTATTTGCACTTTGATCTCCTATTTCTAATTCTTCTTTTAAAAACATCATTATAACCCAAATTTTTATTCATTTTTCTCAAATTATTTTTAGTCTCGTCCCTAATTAATTTTTTAAAATATAATAAAAATTAAATTAAATTAAATTATAAAATATTTTTTTAGACATTTTTAAATTGCTAAAATTTATCATGGACCAATTTTCAAACTCAAATATTACATAAAGAATACATAATATATATTAATTAAATCAATTATATGTTACTTAAATATGTATCGATTAAATGAACATATGAAGCACAATATATATTAATTAACTTAGTTCAGTTGGGACAGTAAATAATTAAATCAATCATATATGACTAGTATTTTTATATTTATTAAAATATATTAATTAAAATACATACTTGAAATTTAAAAAATAAATTTTATATTAAATTATTTATTAAATAATTAATATTTTATTAATAATATGATATTTGATAAAATTTACACGAAATTTTATGTATGAGATAAAATAAGGTACTTTTTTTAAAAAATAATAATAATAATAAGTGACCTAATCTTGTATAATCTTATGCAAAATTTGATGTAAGTGTTACCATATTAAGGTACATAATCAATAGAATAATTAGTATATAAATTAATTTAATTACTTTTTTATTTATATATTTTAATTATGTATTTAATTAATATTTTAATAAACATAAATATGTTTATGATATATAATTAATTTAATTATGTAAGTTTACCCATTTAATTATTGGGATAAAGTTTTTTGGTTAATTATTAAATTTCTTACTATATCGGTTTTCTCATTAGTATAAATATAAAAAAATTATAAGTTTATTTTTTTTATAAAAAATTAATAATAAATTATAAATAAGTTTTAAAATTACTTTCTCACAACTCCCCTCTCCCTGTCTCGGCTACTTTCCTCACAACTCAGCATCGCCGCTCGCCGGTTCACCCATCTGCCCCGGCAGCCCCTTTCATCGTCTGTATCCTGTCTCTTCACTTCTCACCGCCATTTATTCCTTCTCACCCGGCATCTTCCAATCTTTGAGTCCCTCTTTCAGTTGCGACCCAAGGCTGTTACTTGCCATAACAGCTGTATCCCGATAAACTAAAAGCCGACTGGTTTCGCGGTAAGTTTCTTCGCCTTTTCATTTCCTTATCAGGATGCTTAGATAAGGGATCATTCATGAGGCAGACCACGAAAATGTCGTTCACCTCCCAAGTCGGAGGCTTACCAAAGTAAACCCTCCTCTGTTCATACTGAATTTTAAGTAGCTTCACAAACAGGTTAGGATACCTTGAGTCCTTATTTGATTTCTCTAATGAGCATTAGAGCTACGGAAGAACATTTCCAGGATTAGAATGCTCGATCATGCAATGGATGTCTGAAATGTAGATAGGCTTGGTCGCTTTCTCTACTTTTCTCTCAATGTGAAGAGGGATGCACATAACCTGTTCGTTGAAATTCCTGTGAGACAGTGACGATTTTGTGTGATTGGCATCTCTTTATTTGTAATTGAATACTTGTATTGTATGACTGAATCTTTTGATTGATTTATCTTGAATATTGTTGTGATTTAGAGCTAGCATTTCTGTTTACTGTGCGGTCTGATGGTGTTAACAGAAGGATAAACTTTTTGCTTTCCATTTTGACCAAGCATACACCTATTGAAGTCATATAAGCTGTTTAAACGAAAGACCTCACAAGGCTCCAGGAAAGCTTGATAAGAAATGTTTGGAAACCAGTGCTAATGATGCATTGATTAATAGACAATTTTGCAATCTAGTTACTCTGCCTTCTCAAACCTTGTCAGCCATCGTGCTTGATTAAATGAACTGCTAAGTATTGTTTTTCTATGGCCCGAAATCTTGGATCTATACATACTGTGGATCTGATTCTTTGGTTGAGAAGCATGAGTTGTGGTAACTTGCTATTGCACATATGTATCCAGTCGAAACATTTTAAGGATACTGTATGTTGTGAACTAAAGCTGATAATGAAGGGCTAAAACTGGCTGGTGTGTGATTGGATGTATGAGTCTGTCCAAAAGATTTTTTGAGTAGTTTTCTCTCATTTACGTAGCTAAACTTTGGGTTTCATCTCTCTATATTTTTGAATGACTTGGTAATAGAATTACAAACCTGAAATATAATTGTGCACCCTCAGATACTAACTTGATTAGGCTCTCGGACATTCATTCTAGCACTACTAAGTTGGATTCTCTTTAGTTGTATAACTACTGAGTCAATGCACCTCTTGAAATCAGTTTGTTCTACACCCATTTGTTAAACGACAAAAGTAAAAGGATGATAATGATTTTTGGCATAGACAGATGCCAATTAGGAAACTTGATTTCAACCGGTAGTGTTTGCGAGGAAAACTACAAATTAAAACTCGAAGATCTATTATATGTGTGTATATATGTAGTTCTTTTTGATATAATTCGCTAAGAATTTGATGATTTTTGAACTTAATGATAATAATTCAAGTTTGAAGTATTTTTCCTTTTATTTGGGTTTTTTTTTTTTTGATTTGAATGTTTTAGATTATTTCTTTTGGTTGAATTTGTTTTTGCCTTCTCAAGATCTGATTCCAACTAGCAGTGCCTTCGAGTAGTAAAACACATTCAAACTTTAGATCTTATTTGATTCCCTACAGTGCCTCAGACAATCATTTATAGTCATTATTATGTAAGTTACAATTGTTTCATTATAGACTTCATTGTATTGGCTTTATCATTTGTTTTAGAATTAGGCATTACCAAGTTAAATCTATTAAGTCTCGGTGGCATAAAAAAATTTTGATTGGTTCCTTTTCTATTACCAAATTTGGCACATTTGATCCGCATAGTACTGGTGTATATGGTGACAATAGTTGTCAAAATTCAAATGTTCATTTTCCTGATTTTGATTTTTTTATTATTTATTTAGACCACATGTGAAGATCATGTCAGATAGGGGAGCTTCAAAATGTATATTCTTTGCATTATGCTTTTTTTGCCCTTAGTTTTTTAATTGATTCACTTTACTATATTGATAGCGTAGAAAACAAGAACCATATTCATATCTCTTCAAATTAAAATATTTATTTAATTTTTTTTATAAAAAAAAAACCTGCAGCCTAGTGCATGAAATCTTCTAATTTTTAAGTAATAATAAACACAAAAGCAAACTATTTTCTACATATATATTTATGTATGTTTGTTCAATAATACTAATGCAATTTCTTGTTGTTTTATCAGGAAATCTGTAGGCAGGTAACTTGCTCTGACACAATCTAATCCATACAAGAACTCTGGTCGTGACTTGTCTGCCACTTTCTGTTCTCCTGTATACAAAGTCAAAACTTCACCTAAAATCGAACAAAATTTGTTCTACTTTGAAGAGTGACAGAGTGACCATGTTCAAGTGCAGAATAATAACTTCAATTCTCAAAAGTAAAAGAGAAGCTGTCAGTGGCATCGTATCTAATCTCTCTGGAAATAGTTCATATCGAGTTTTCACTAGTAGTACTTCTTCTTTTGCTGCTACTACTACTGCAACTGTTAGGGGCTTTTATTATGGCTTTAGATCTCTCCCCAAGGTACCCTTTCCTACCCTTCTCTCATTACTCTCCATTTTAAACATCATTTTTCTTGAATAAAAACTTAAAATTTCCAAATGAACTCTTTTTTTAGAATTTGTTTATTCCAAAAATGGGAATATTGCCAGAGAACTTATTTATGATTCCACTTTCAGTTTTAAAGGCTCAATAAAATAATGGTGTTGATGCTGATGAAAATTGTTCGGTGGAAGTATACCTATCAGAATTCTTGTACAATTTGTAAACTCACAACCTAACTCAGCATAATTTGCTTACAAAAAGTTTTTCTTTTCATTAGTTGCTAACTATTGTAGAGCTAGAAGAGATGCCTTAGCAATAATGTTATCCTGGGTTTAGCGATAATGTTATCCTGGTACAGCTTTCACGCGCCAACTAAATTCATCCACGGGTGATATTGAGGCACACCCCTATTGGCACGATTCATTCGGTATCTTTTTTAAGGATGGAAGGTGTGAATTTGATGAATAATAATGAATTTTCAATTGGAAAGGAAAAGTGAAAAGAGAAAAAGTGAGGGACAAGCAATTCAAGTGAGGATATATGCCATGAAACATCTAGATGCCTTTGTTTCGTTCGCTAGGGGAGTACATGATGTTCTTGAGTTTGGTTTTAGTATTTTGGGAAAAAAGAAAATTTCTTTTTTGCCTAATGGACATCATTTTGTTGTTGATTTCTGGACCTTGTAAACATATGAAATAACAAAAGGTGCTGATGGCGGTGTTACAGAATATTCAAGCAATTTTTAACTTGTACGGATTCTTTGTAATGCTGATGAAAATGAAAATTCTTCTTTACTTTAGGGCCATCATATGTCTACCTTGAGGAATATGTCCAGTACTGTGGCATCTAATACAATGGGAAGTAAAGAAGGATTGAGATTATTAGTCACTGGAGGACCTCGTGCTCAGAAAGTGGTAGGGATGTGGCTTTTTGGTTCTGCTGCATGGGTTTTTAGTATGGTGGTCCTTGGGGGTCTTACCCGCCTAACACGGTCTGGTCTTTCAATGACTGACTGGAAATTTACAGGTAGCCTTCCTCCTCTATCAGATGAGGAGTGGGATCAGGAGTTTGAGAAATACATGCAATCACCTGAGTATAAGCGGTAAGTTAACAAACTGCAATACTTTTTAGTCTAATAAGAACTTATAAATTGTATTTCAGGCCTTAATTTGTGCTCATAACTTAAATCGTCTCTCATATAGCTTCATCCAGATACATGGTGTAGTTTCTTATGTCTCTATTGTGCATTAATGAAAAGTGGCAAGAAAAAAGTTATTTGCTTTAAAAAGCAATTTTCTGTTGGTAATTTTTATATTGATAGTCAAGATGCTTATATACACGAATGGGTGTGATTGTGTACGGCTGCACACTTTTTCCGTCAAATCTGTATACTGAAAATTATTCTCATTTCCGATAGAGGTGGAAGTTTGTGTGATTTTGACAGTCCTACTGAGTTTTTTAACCATTTGCAGTGTAAATAAAGGGATGAAGATAGAAGACTTCAAATTCATATATTGGATGGAGTATGGCCACCGTATGTGGGGAAGGGGATTGGGCATCATCTTTGCATTACCATTCTCATATTTTCTTCGTAAGGGATATATTACACTAGGTCTTGGACTTAGACTGTCTGCTCTCTTTGCCCTTGGTGCTGGTCAGGGTCTAATCGGATGGTGGATGGTCAAAAGTGGTTTAGAGGTGAGAACATTGTTTTCTTATTCTTCCTTTGGATTCTAATGAATGAAAAATTATTCACCTCATAAACATATTCTTCACGTAGGAGCCAGCATCTGAATATGCTCAGCCAAGAGTAAGTCCTTACCGTCTTGCTGCTCATCTTACCTCGGCCTTTGTAATTTATAGTGGCCTCTTCTGGACTGCTCTTTCTGTGGTTATGCCTGAGCCTCCTGCCGAGTCAATAGCTTGGGTCGGTGGGGCTGCAAAAGTTAAGAGATTTGCCCTTCCTGTGGGCTTAGTTGTGGGCCTTACGGCTGTCTCAGGGGCATTTGTGGCAGGAAATGATGCTGTAAGTGAAAACTGAAATTCTTTCATAAGTGCCGCAAGAACTTTCTGGTTTTATCTTTTAAAAAATAATGGTACGAAAATTTATAATTTATGTTTATGTGTTTAAATTCTAGGGGCATGCATATAATACTTTTCCCAAGATGGGGGACGCATGGATTCCTGAGGATATATTTGAAATGAAGCCACTAATTCGCAACTTCTTCGAGAATACATCAACTGTGCAGGTAATTTTAGAGTTTGTTTCTTAACTTTAATTTTCCAGAGGCATGCCTGCTTTTACCATTCAAAATCTCAAAGACAAGCTGAATCTTTCACAGAACCAAATGTGTATGAAACTTTTGAAAAGGATTCAGACTCTATATATGAAGTAAAATGCAATTTCTTGTTGGTTGTTTGCAGCTTGATCACCGTCTTCTAGCTGCTGCAAGCTTAATCTCTATCGGAACAATGTGGTGGTTCACTAGAAAGTTGGACATACACCCGGCTGTTCAAACTTTGATTGGGAGCACACTAGGCATGGCTGGTCTTCAGGTGGCTGCTGGCCGTAGATTATCCCATTTCTTTCGTTGACCAGTTTGATATTCTCCTTTGAATTCCGAGTATCTCTCCCATTTACTGATTACATTGTCATTGCAGGTGACTTTAGGGATATCAACCCTTCTGTCCTATGTACCGGTATCACTTGGCACTGCACATCAAGCTGGAGCTTTGACTCTTTTGACATTCATGCTTCTGCTCAATCACACTGTTAGGAAGCCATCAGTGGCGCTTCTCAAAACACTGCCTCAAGTTGCCAGGTCACCCTAATAGTTTTAGTTTCAATTTTATGGCAGATAAACCATGAATTAGATTACATAAATTGATAAATGCTCACTTAGCTCTAAATTCAGTTTAGGGCTAATTTTTTGTGGGGTATGAGATAAAAGTAGGTTTACTTATATTCTTCATTCATTGCAATTGAGAAGACCTTTAGAATCTTAGCTTGAGTTTTGTTGTATGCTGGACAATATGTTATGATGTAAGTTGTCATTGGTGTTCATGCAAATATGTAGTTGGTAGGAGTGAGCAAAAACCGACGGAATAAAAATTATATATATATATATATATTATTATTATAAAAATTGAAGTTATCAGCATTTTATTTTTCTGCCTTTTCTTATCAAACACATTATTAGGCCCTACCCATCTACCCAAAGTGACAAAAGAGCTTTACATTTTTTTTTTTTTACAACAACATGCTCTTTTTGTGCAGAGCCCCTGGGATCAACATTTTCAGTGGGTCACTGTTGGATTATTAAAAATTTGAGGCCCAAATTATAATAAAAGCTCATTAATTCCATTTTAGAAGCTTCTAAAAACTTTACTACAGGTATATTATTTTGAGTACATTTTTAAGTAGTTATTCAGGATTATTATAATTTTGTTTTTAATTTTTTTTAACTTTAATATTTTCTATTTATTTGAAACTAACAATTTTTATTTATTTTTAACGAAAAAATTATACTTGAAAAAACTTAAAAAATAATTTTAATTAATTACTTAAGTTAATAAATCAATAAACTGATACCATTAGATATATTTTTTACTGTTATTAATTTATTAATATAATTCATATATATATATATTAGTTTTTTTTTTATTTAAAGAAAAAAAAAAAGAAAACTAAACATCTAAATCAAATAGAAAAATATTCAATCTGTAACAAGTATCAAATTTCATATATTAATTGATATTTTTGTCGTAGTATCTTTAAAAGGAAAATATCCAAACAAATAACATTCACTTCAATTTATCAACTCAGCCGTAGAATAATTGAAAATGATGATAAAAACAAGAAGCAATCGTCATTCATTACCCAAATCCAATTAACCCGTTCAAAATGCATTTACCCCCTTGACAAAATGATTTAAGAAACTCGGTTACATACACCTTAATCTTCACTTCCCATCAAGTCACAACCGTCCGATCATGACGAACATCTCCCCCTCCCCCCTCTTTACCACTTTTTGATTTATGATATTTCATATGGAGTTTATATAGATACCGTAAATATGAAAAACTTGATTTATAAAAAAAAAAAAGTTGAAACCAAATTCAGAGAAGGAAGAATTAAATGTACACACCCCACACACATACATATGTATGGTTGGCATTTCGTTTTCACAGATTCACAATAATACCTAGTTTAGCTTTGGCACAAGTAGTGTCCTACTCATCTCATCCTGGTCAGTTAAATTTTCTATGTTTATATGTATATATACTCCCACCCACACACACACACACACATATATATATATATGCGCATATACGTGTGTGTATATAATATGGTAACCCTGGAATTCATGATTTCTTCCCTCTCTCGGTTACTAAAGAAACATAATTTTTTACCATCCCTGTTTTGTCCAAAATTATTGCAGAAATAAGTAATGGCAAGAGTAGGTTTTGCTATGTGCTTAGTGATTGTGGCTATGGATATTACTGCTGGCATGCTCGGGATTCAAGCAGAAATCACTAAAAACAAGGTATATACATATACATATATATACATATATAGAAGAGAAAAACAAGCAGAAACAAAAAAAAAAAAAATTAAAAATGGGTAAATGGGTTGTGATGAAATTACTGAAAACAAGGTACGTACAATATATGTACATATATAGAAGAGAAAACCAAAAAATTAAAAATGGGTAAATGGGTTTTGTTGAAATTTACAGATGATGATAAAGTGCAAGGATAAGGAGACAAGTGATGAAGTATTCAGGCTTGGTTTAGCAGCAGCGGCATTGCTGGGCGTATCTCACCTTGTCACCAACCTGCTGGCCGGCTGCGTCTGCATTTGTTACGCCCCAGAGCTTGAAACATCATCTGCTAACAGGCAATTCTTGTTTGCCTGCCTTATACTCTCCTGGTAATTTTTAATTGAACAAATACCTGATTTCATGTTATATTTTAGTTTGAAATAGTGCATAGTTCGGAGGAATAAATTGGGTATTTTTAGTTTTTTATTTAGCATTTTAATTTGATTATTTTATACTTTTCATAATAATTATATTATATGAGTTTTCTTAGATTCTAAATATTAAATTAGTTTTCATATTATTTTAAAATATTTAAATTGATTTTTCATATTAATTTTTAATTTTTTTAATTTTTTTATCGTCTGACAGTAAGTTAGATAAGTTATTATTTTTAATTAAATAAATTTTTATATTAAATATTATGTAATATTTAACCTTTAAAATAATTTTATTTTTTAAATATTTTTAAATAAAAATTAAAAATAAATGGGAAACAAAACATGAGCGATAATGAGTCCTAATGCCAATGGAATTTTGCAATGAGACTAACAGTGTAGACACCCAACGAGAGCATGTACTTCACTCAGGATCTTTAGTAGACAGCCTCTACAAGGGTGTATAGTGTGATGGGTGTGGAGAGACATGGCGGAATGAGAGGTTGATGATGGTAGGTGGAGAGGTGCTTCGTGTGGGAGTTGGATGAGTTTGAGAATTGGTGAATGTCTGTAAAGAGAAGTTGGATGTCTAATGGTGGTTTGGGAGAAAATGGAGAAGGAGGAAGCTTTTTTTTTTTTCTTCTTAATTTTATGTTTTAATTTTTATTAAAAATAATTAAATTTAAATTATTTTCTATACGTTAAATGACATATAATATCTAATATGAAAGTTTATCTAATTATAAATATTCACGTAACCAACTACTATTTAATGAATAATAGAGAGACTAACAAAATAAAAAATTAGTATATAAATTAATTTAAATATTCAAAAATAGCACATAAATTAATTTAATATTTATTTCGTTTCATTGGATGTAGGATTGTAGTAGCCGTTGGATTTCCAATGTTGACGGTGGGAATGTTAGAGAACAGAAACTCGAAATCAAAAGAATCATGCGGAGCGTTAGAGGGAGAACATGATCATTTTCTATTCATTGGAGGGATACTTTGTATTTTACATGCCCTCTTAACCATTTTTTTTTGTTGGTTCTACTTGAATCGTCTTTTTTACTCATGAACCGCAATACATCTAAAACACAAATTTAAAGAATATACCTTTTTTCGGTGTTATTTATTTGTGGATTGTCTTTGCATGTAAAACTTATTCATACTAGTTACTAGGTACAAATGAGGAAATTTAAATGATATATATTAAGCTTAATTTAATGATATAACAAAAAAAAATATTTAATCACAGTTTTACTAATATAATAATTATAATCTCGTTAATTTTCTTAGCATTTTCCTTAAAATTTAGATAACAAATTATTAGTCAATTAGAATTTACAAATAAGTCTAATAAAATATTACTAAGTGAGTTTTGTTAGATACTTGTATCGAGATGAAATGAAAATAAAGTAGATAGTAACTCACGCACATCTTATAAAATGGTAGTCATTGACTCTTAGTGCGGTAAGATAATTATCTTAGAGAAGAAACTCAAAGGCGATATGAGTACAAACATGATATCAACTTTCATATTAGAATTATTTGTTTTTTATTACTTTAAGAGGTAAAAGAATTATGAAAAAAGAAGCATTAGATATTAGTACGTTGTCTATCTAAAATATCGCCAAACCAATTAACACCGTAATAGGCTTATGAGGCAAGATATGAGGATCTAGAGGGGTGAAGTTTATGAAATAATTGTCCTTAGCATAGTAAACAATGTGAAACAAAATGAATACGTTCATGATGAACTTATTGACATATGTACTGAATTATAGTAAGATAAGCAAAATAATAAGACAAATAAAACTTTCAACTAAGTGCAAATAAAGAATAAAATCTTTAATTGGAGTGTCATTTATGGCTGAGCAGTGAAACACTATGATTGTAATATCCGGTTTTCAAAATAAAGAGTGTGTGAATAAATAAATTAAATTAGAACTTAGTGTTTAAATATTTTTTAAAAAAAAAATTACAGGGTTTTTATAAATTTTAAGGATATAAATAAAAATATGTGAGAAAAAAGGGTCAGATGCCTAATTAAATAAGAATAAAAGGGAGGCAAAAAGAAATCAAGAAATAAACGGTCATGATCGCACCGTCTGAGAGATCCAACAGCTTGAAATCTCATTTAGTTGAATGGCCCAGACTGAGTCTTGCAAGATTAGGTGGCTAGGGAAATTGGTATTCAAAAAAACAATTAGGATTTTTTTAATTCAGCAAATGAGAGCTGAAAATGAGAGAAGAGGATCCATGAGTCGAGTGGGTGAGAGAGGAGGCCAAGATTGAGTGAGAGTCAGGCTGATAGGGAGAAAAGAACACTACCCGAGAGAAAGACGAGCAAGAAAACCAAAAGGAGAGAAGGAAACGCAACCAAAGAGGAAGGAGGAGTATCGCAGAGGTGGAAGGCCGAAGGAAGGAAAGGGGATGGGAACCGCGATCGAGAAATGTCGTGTTGCTGGTGGATTCTGAAGTCGTGTTGCACGCAACACCAATGTTCTGAAAATAGGTGAGTTTCGTCCCTTTCCGTCTTTTTGAGATTCATTTTTCGTGTTTCACTTTAACGGGCATGTAGGTGTGAAACGACCACTGTTAGTAGTTTTCCTAAAACGGCCACTATTAGTAGTTTTTCTTAGGTTTAATTCATTTCGTTAATTAAATATGATTATATGCATGTATAGTGATTCTAGGCTGTTGATCAAGTGGAATATAATTTGTTTGAGGGATTTTGGTAAGTATTTCCTCATTCCAAACTTGGATTGAGATTTTAAAAGCTTATGCATGTGTATTTTTAAATTTTTGTATGTTTTAGTATAAAACAGATACCGATTCGATTCCTTGATGAAAAATAAAACCTGGTCCCACTGCCATAAATGACTTTAGGACACTTGATTTTCCTGGTCTTTGTATCATTGGACATGGTTTCATTTGATTGTTGAACATATGATGAGTGAATCCTAACTTATTTAGAAATCATGAAGATATGAAAACCAGAAAAATTTAAGAACTGATAAATGTTTGAATGTGTGATAATGAATGAAATTTATAAGTGAAAATAAACCACCAATAAAGTGAAAGGTTGAGAAAAAAAAAATAACATAAAAAAATAAATAAAGTAGAAATTAGTTATTATGGTTACAAACAAATTACTTAATATATTTAAAAGAAAAATAGAATAAAAGGAAAATAAATAAGGAAATTGAAAAAGGAGCGAATGTGAGTGAATAGTGTATGGATCCTGTATATTTTCTCGTTTAGTTTGAATCGAGGAGGGGATGGTAAACTTGTACATGAATAGAGTTTGAAACATAATCCAAACATAGATAGGGGTTTGTGAGCGTGGATCACCTAACATACGTAATTGATGTGACTAGTGTGAGATTTTGTGTGTGTGCTATTCATGTGATGAAAGGATCCATTTCGCTTATTCTCGACGATGATATAAATGACATTGCGCGATGAAACCTTTGAGATAACCTTTCGAGTGTATGTGGTGATATTTCGAGACTATAAATGATATTTGAGTGTAATTAAGAAATTCAATTGAAAAAATGTGAAATTAGATTGTCTGAAACAGTTATGTTTAATAAGTAAATTCTGAATTAGAAAATGGTAAAAATTATAAGTAAATTTAGTATTGAAAACATTATTATTGCATTTGCCACATATTGTGTATTTTGCATGATGTCTGATTTGGATTTTGGAAGAATGAAAACACTTATTAAGTTGGTGAAACTCATTAAATTTTATCCTGATATTTTTCAGAAAAAAAAGAAGAGCCATAACTGTTGCTGGACAAGTAAAACTTGTGAAAGGGTTCCAGTGCATATATATTTTGTTAATATTCTACAAAATTTCGTTTTGTTTTGTTAAGCTTTAAATTTTGACATCATGTTCTACATATATAACTACTGTATATATCACATGAGATGTTAGATTTTATGTTAAATATTTGAGATGTATATATGCATATTTTGTGGGTCCATTGTAGGAATAATGGTAGGAATAGATTTGCGCCTCATTATTAGGTTTTGGGGTGTGACAATGATAGACAAGAGTTTTAATTATCTTGTTATAAATGAGACTTATATGAGAAATGAAATTAGTCATATTTAGATTGAGTCTAATAAGACACCAACTTAGAAATAAGTGAATAAATTAAAATATTTGATTTTAATATTTTGGTCAATAAAATATTTTAATGTATAAATCTTTAAAACGTAATATATAATAATAATTATTTATCAAAATAGAGTAAAAGAAGAATAGAAGCCTAAAAAGGCTTTTCAATAAACAAGACAAGATTATAAGGCTAGACTGAATGCCAAGTTAGATAATAACAAAGCTAAATTTGAAGAACTAAGCTTGAGGGACTTATTTGAGGCCATGTAGGGTTTAGAGTATTGAGCAAATTTCATGAGTCAAATAATCATAACCTGAAGGATATTGTAAGCAAACTTGTTCATAAAGTCTTCTACCAACAAATGCACTTTTAACATCTATTTGAAACAATTTTTAGTGTTTAATAACAAGAATTAGGGATTCATACTGATCAAACAAATGTCTATTTATAATTAATATCATACAATTATATATATATTTTTATTATAAATATATTTTATATCATTATAGATTATGTATATTCTTATTGCTTAATTTTTTAATTTCATTTGGAACTAGTAACAAGATTATCAAGATGTAAGTCAAATGAATTTCAATTATGAAATTATTATTAACTTCACAATAATGGTGGTGCTAATATAAAAAATAATAGTAGAATAACATCGAAAATCATAAAGAGTGCTGAACTATTTACTTATTTGGCGTGATAGATAATCATGATTGTTATATAAGTACGTTAATATCATATTTATTTATAATTGAGTTTTAAGGAAATTGGGTAGCAATATTCTTAAACAACAATACTATATGACAAATCGAATTATCAATACAACCCTAACCCTTAACTTGTATTTTATATTATGTTCGGATAAATTTAAGTAAATGAATGGAGATAAAAAGAACATAAAAGAAAATAATAATTTTTCTTATTTTGCTGTCTAAACACTTAAAGGATTTAATTGCAAAAATATTAACAACTTAAATGCTAATTAAGAAATTACGAATTATAGGGGGAAAAAAATTTATTTATGTAACTAAATTAGGAAACCGAAAAAGAAAAACAAATTAGGAAAATACAGAAGGGGCATTTCCGTCAATTAGAAAATCCCAAGAACTTGTTTTTCGAAAATTTCAGATTCCCTCGCCTCCACACGCGATCAAAATCGAAAACCCCCCAAAAACAAAACGCAGAAGCGGTGCATATTCACGATATCAAATCTTAACCGTCCGATTCTTTCAAATCTAACGGTTAACTGATCGATCCGCGTACTCGCATATCATTGGTTACTTCCCGAATGTTCCTCCACTATATATACCTATAAAAACCGATCTATAACAAACCACTCTCCTAAAATAGTTCCCTCCCTCTTTACTCCTCCTCACTCTATTTTCTTCTCCTGAAAATTTTGGTTTGATTTGCTGTTGAAATGGCGGGTCGTGGCAAGACTCTCGGTTCAGGCGCAGCGAAGAAGGCAACATCGCGGAGTAGCAAGGCTGGGCTCCAGTTTCCAGTCGGTCGTATTGCTAGGTTCTTGAAGGCCGGCAAGTACGCCGAGCGAGTTGGAGCCGGTGCTCCGGTGTATCTCGCCGCCGTTCTTGAATACCTCGCTGCTGAGGTACTTATCGTCTTCTCACGTCTTTCTTTTTGAAGTTTTATCCGTTGATGTATTGTTTGCGTGTGTGTTGGCGTTTCCTCGCATCTGTCTAGGGTTTCAAAATCTACGTTTCTTTTATTTTTGTTCTCTTCGAATTTAATTCGAAGCTAAAACAGAGCTGCTTTTGTGTACAGGTAGTATCTGCGTTTGCTTTACGGTGTGTGGTTGTATGTGTGTTCGTAATTTTGGGAAATTTATTCTTCTACCAAATTTAGGGTTTCCATCTTTTCTTTCCGTAGTTAACAGGGATTTCGCTTTTTCTCTCCCTTCCGAATCTTGTTTTTTCTGTTTCGTTATCTTTAAGGTTGGATTCATGGTTTCTGGATCATTTCTGTAAATATTAGGGTTAGTGATTATCTGTGCGCTAAATAGGTTTTCGGCGGCTGATGTTTATTTGCGTAATTGTATTTACAGGTTCTGGAATTGGCCGGAAATGCCGCAAGAGACAACAAGAAAACCCGTATCGTTCCCCGCCACATCCAGCTAGCTGTGAGGAATGACGAAGAGCTGAGCAAGCTTCTGGGAGATGTTACAATTGCTAATGGAGGTGTCATGCCCAACATCCATAACCTCCTCCTCCCCAAAAAGACAGGAACTTCAGGATCCAAGGCCTCTGGTGGTGACGATGACAGTTAAATATTTGATGACACGAGGTTCAGAGACAAAGATGGTCTCTTTTGCTGATGGATCAGCATCCACGAGCAGATTTAAATCAGTAGTGTTTTTTATTTCTTGATGATTTGCTTGCTCTTTTTCTTTTTTTTTTTTTTTGGGGTAGATTTTTGGGAGATAGTGTTGGGATCTCTCCGTTGTGGAATCTGTAGCTTGTTATAATTTAGGATCTTTCAGGGTAGTTCATGTGGATTGTAAATCTCAACTCTTTTAGTTACTAATAGAAGAATTGTGGAATTCATTTCCTTTTTCCATTAATGGCTTTATTAACTGATGCACCACTTGAGAATGCAACTGTTCTGGATTATACAGATTTGGAAGGCTCTGCATCTTGGCTTCAATGCTTGAAGAAAGTAGAAATATGTGTAGAATTCTCATCATTAGGGTTATTTATGTATTTCCTTGGTTGGAGTTCATTAATTGCAGTAACTAAAATTTACTTGAAACTGTTACATAAAGGATTGAGAGTTGAGTTCATGATTTATGATATTTTGATTTGGTAATTTTCTAATAGGTAGTTCAGTCAACATGACATTTTAGTAGACTATATAATAAGTCACTCTAGTTAGCTTTTTAGCATTTTGGCTATGATAGGAATAATACATTTTTACATTATCATCAAATTTTCATGTTCTAATTTGTAATTTTTGAAAATTTAATTACCCATGCTGACTAATATGAATAGTAATTCGAGACAAAAATTGGGATGGTGTTCGTGTGGTTTAATGATTTTGGGATTGGTGTGTTACACGGGTAGGTAATTGTCAGTTCCAAGGACTAGGAAAGCTCCTTTGTTTTCCACAAATGGAAACTGCACAAAGCGTTCAAAGCATATCTCCAATGACCGTGGAATTTATTCAGGGTTATCTACCAGAAATAATTATACGTACAATATAAGAAACTTGTCCTATATTTCTGACTTGCAACATTTGATTAAAATTATGAACAAGACGTGATTCTTTTTAAAAGGTATCAAAAATTAATAAAGTACATCACTCCTATACAACTGCTAATGCACAATCTGGGATTTTGCACAAAGCAAGAATCAAGTGAATTTTATGAATAAATTCCTTTCTCTTCCAACATGAGTGCATATACAGTAGTTCCCCGAACATGACAGCTCTCTAAACTTTTTAAGTCATACCGGCTCTAAACTCAGCCTCACTCTCCATTTATCAGAATCGAAGAACGTCTTGTTTGTTGAAAGATCACCACAACCGTGAGTGAGACCAGTGGGAACCATCGTCCTCAAACTCCCATCTACACAGCCATCTGAATAAATCTATATGTCAATGTAATTCAGACACCAAAAACTGGAGTAGAATATCCAATAAAGACTAGTTTATAACATTTGCAGACACTAATGTTGGGAAATGATCTGCTTAACCAGGATTCAGGAAACTGAAAAAATACCTTTCTAAGTGAAAGTATGGAGTCTAGTCATCTGAATCCGAGCTTGAATCATCTGTCCGTCTTTCTTGGATTGCTGGAAAGAGTCGCTGATGAAGATCAATAGAAGGTGTCTGACGATGATGATCAGCAGAAGCTGATGCAGTAGAAGCCTCTTTCTTCTGTGCTCTTGCTGTCTTCCTTGGTGCATCTCTCACATCTTTGCATGCCTTGTCTAAAGTTATCAAAAAGTCCCGCACAATGACAAATAAACGTAATCCCTCATCCTTCCCGGAATTCCCGTGGAAATAATCACCAGTGCTCTTCACCAGAGCCATTATTCTTTTCTCCTCTTCCAGCAGCGACATGACATCTACCTCAGCATCCTGCACAAAACTTTTTAATGTTTTGTGGAAACCACTTTCCTCCTGTAAATTCTTCATGTCTGTGTTCAAGAAATTTCTGGTTTTCAACAATGCATGGCCAAGTTTGGCAACAGTTCCAGTTAAACTGTCAGAATCTAAAATTGCTGCTTTCTTGACATTCTCAAGTTCACTGCTCAATCTTGAAACCACCTGAAGACCAAGACTACGATAGTGTTCCTCAGAACCCTCATTAACTTCCTCGAGCAAAAGATCTGTTTTAACACTGGAGAAACTCCTGTTATCTCTAGCTGCACGGGCAGCCCTCAGCCCTTCAGAGCGAATAATTTCTTGGACAACAAAGTGCAGGAGGGTGGTCTTCCCATCTATTCCCTTGACATCTGATAATTTCAAAAGTGTGTCCAGCTTGAATGCTTGAGCACCACCACGGAATGTTCCATCATTCATCCGATTGCCAGTTTTAAGAACAGCTTCTAGGAGTTTGAGGAACAATCTACTGTTTCTGAGTTCCTTGCAAGCAATCTGTCATAGAAGATGCATATGGCAGTTGAGTGTACAGAAAACATGTACCATATTTCCTAAAGTACAGAATATTCCTTAGAAAATAGGATGTGAATTACATAAAATACGTCAACCAATCGGTGGAAGAGCTACCACTAATCCGGACAAATAATATAAAACTTGAGATTTTTTGAAGTTGGATATCAGCTTAAGGGTGAAATGTTGGATTTTAAGCTGGGTACGTCACAAAACACCAAAAATTCCATTCCCAGAAAGGAAAATAACGTCCCATTAAACAATAGATATAACAGCCTACCTCTAAGGTTTCAAATGACTCTCTGGTCGTGGCAACCTCTTCCTGGAGAGTGCACATGAAAAGTAGTGCTTCCAGTCGCATAAAAGCAAATGGAATGTCAACCAAGGCTTTTAGGAAGCGCTCTGCAGGTCCGAGTTGAGATAGTTCACCACTAAACAACCTGAGCTTCAGTTCTTCATCAGATGTCGGTGCCATCTTCAGCAAAGTTTGGATGAGTTCCACAGGAAGCTCATTAGCTGATTTAATTAGAACACATTAGTGCAATGATGTTCAAAGGCCAGAAATTAGTAATTAAATTCATCAACTGAGAAACATGGAGCATGGCATAAAATGACAAGCACATTAACATATCAGAACCAACAGATGGGGAAATAGCCTTTTTTATACCATATGTTTTATTTCTAAAAATGTTCTCTTTCATAGATGTTTTCCGTTATTTACTAATTTCAATTTATATGGTGGAAAAACTATTTGAGGATGAAATAGTATGTGAGAGGCATGCATAGACACAGATACAGACACACACGCACACGCACACGCACACGCACACGCAAACACATTCACACATCTATTCCACCATTTTTAATGAGAAACTAATCAAGTCGATGATACTATATACTTGAATAGAATGCAGTTGTTCCATATCACTAGGTTATAGAACTTCCTCTAGAAAACTGATGGGTCTTAGCACATAAGTGATATTAGAAATACGAAAATCTCTACATATTTTCTTTCTTGATGAAGAAAAATGTAGCACAAGATTATTTAAAGCATCAACTCCTTTTATCTTGGACAATAGCGTTGCAGTGAATTTTACAGAACCATGTCCTGAATTACTAAATCCTACCACCACAGACAAGGCATGAAAACATGCAAAACATAAACATCCAATAGTTTAAGTCAATTTTTATCGAACACCACAAATAGACAAAGATGAGGAACCACCTTCATGAAGTGCATCACAAACTTCTTCTGTTGTAACATTTAATGCCCTCAGAAGAATTGACAAATTCTGTGCTTTCTTTGGGTCAAGGATCTGAATGAACTGAGGAGAAGGATCCTGTGAAGAAGAGTCCTTTTTTTGTCCAACTTTAGTTTTGTCACTAGGTGCATATCCAAACAATGTTTCTATCATCTCTTCATTAAACCTGCAAACCAGAGGGAAGCATACTCAGATGATTTGTTTAATAATTAGAATGCAATGCTAGAAGTAGGATGAAGAACTTGTGACATACTGGAATGATCCTGATTTTATCTGATGCCAAACCATTGAATGGTCAGGGTTTGCTAGGACTTTGTCCCAAAAAAATGGCTTTAACTTCGCTTTAGTAGCATCAGTTTCATTCTCTAAGGCAGCTCCTTCGCTAGATGGAGGTTTTGGCATAAAAGGCGGTCGAGGTGCCTTTGCACCAGGGGCTATTGGTGGAGGTGGTCGAGGCGGAGCAAGACCACTCTTTGGTAGGGGTGGTGGACGAGGACCAGGTGGTGCAGGAGGCGGTGGTGGGCCTGCACTAGCTGCTGATGATTTTAGGGGAGGACGTGGTGCTGGAGGGGGAGGTGGTGGTGGAGCAGCCATGCTGGGGGGAGGCTTAAGAGAAGCAGGTGGTTTGGGTGGGAGAGGTTGTGCTCGACGAGGAGGTGGATTTAGAGGAGGCTGTCCTGGAAGTGCATTACTCATTCTTCCAGGAGGAGGCTTCAAAGGAGGTATTCCCTGTCCATTTATATTGCTAGAGGAGTTGAAGGATTCTGTTGTAGTTTTGGTAGTGGTACCGACAGCTTCTAGCGATAGCTTTTCATTAAGCGAGTTAGGTTGAACATCAGATTCCAAGTAAAAGGATAAGGGAGTTTTGTTGTGGTCTGTGTTATTGCCAAATGGTTGATGACCAAGTTTCTCTTCTTTAATAGAATCTCCCAACACGAGAGATGAACCTGAAAGAACACTGTAGATTAGAGGAATTTTTTGAACACTGTAGATTACAGCAAGAAGGGGCAAAGAACATGTACCAATAGAGTATTCGCTTAAACTTAAGCTGAGAAGAGGCCTCTCATCATTTCGCCTACCTCCACCCTTCTTACAAATCTTACTACAACATAAGAAGAATAATGCTGCAACTATAAATGTTACTGCTGCAGTTACAGCAACAGCAATAATAACTGGTTTATGGTCATTCCTTTCTTTTGGCTGAACATCTGGACCAGAGTTTGAACTTCCAGAAGGACCAGGTGGTGGAGGTTCTAATCCTATTGGTGGGAAAAAAGAATTCTGAGGAGTTGGAGCAGGGGGACTTGAACCGCGACGTCGGCGACCAGGAGGGAGCGGTGCAGGTGACTGAGATCTTGATCCAGCAGCTCGAGCAGGGCCAGGGGCAGAGGCAGGGCCAGGTGAAGGGGCAGAGGCAGATGGTCCTAAACTGCTCTGAGGCCCTTCTGTAGCCAACTTCCTCCTAGGAGCATCATGCCAAGAAAATAACAACTTAAGATACTCCATGTACCAAGCCTCTGAGGCACCTTCCTCTCCCGTTACAGGTAATGGAAGCTTGTTTTTTCTTATACAATCTACAAAAATTTGCTTCAACTGCGGATTCAGTTCATTAATCAGTTTCTCAATGTTTCCTTTTGCCCCTGGTTGCTTTCCTCTGTTGATATCACTGGTGCTTCTTTGGGGAAACCATAATTTGAGATCTTCAACA